TTCCCTCACTGCTCTTCCTCTCTCTGGCATTATTTACCTAAAATCGCACCACTATTTATACACCCACCACACCTACTCAATTCTCTGGACTTTGTATGCATACTACTACGTATGACAGGATTGATCGTCTCCAACAACCCTTTCTTATTTTTTATTTTTTTTAGAGATTAGAAGAGGGAACCCAACCCCAGCCCAATAGCCAAACCCAAAAAAAAAAAAGAGAGAGAGAGAAAGAAATGCTAACACAGCAATCAAAAGAGAGAGAGAGAAAGAAATGCTAACACAGCAATCATACCACCAGTGAGCACCACTGCTCTACAGTCTAGCATCACAATTAAAACACATAAACCGGGCCCCGGGGGGGGGGGAGAGGGGCATTTGTGATGGCGGGCGTGGGGCAAATATTTATACGAGAAAGCTCACCATTTTGTTTGCCTAGTGCCTACGCAGAGCACCGGAAAGACTGAAGAGAGAGAAAGAGAGGCGAGGAAAAAAAAGAAAAAGAAGACAGCTCCGCATAACGGAGATGGCTTCCTCTGCAACAGCAGCAGCTGCAGCATTCATTTCTACGAAACTCATAACTCAGCAATCCTCGGACTTACCTCCTTCCTCTCCTACTCCTACTAATAAGCTTTCCTTCCTTCCTACTCCCTCCAACAACTCTGCTTCCTTCAAACTCCTCTACGCCCCATATAGAAATAGGTCCTCTCCTCCTGTTCTCAACGTTCTCAAAACCGCCGTTGAATCCGCCTCCATCTCCTTCTCCGACCCCACCCCTCTCCGTGATTCAATCCTTACCCCTCCCAAACCCACCATTCTTGTCTCCGAGAAGCTCGGAGAAGCCGGCCTCCAGCTCCTCCGCACCTTTGCCAACGTCGATTGCTCCTACAATCTGTCCCCCGACGACCTCTGCGCCAAGATCTCCCTCTGCGACGCCCTCATCGTCCGCAGTGGCACCAAAGTCACCCGACAGGTCTTCCAGGCTGCTCAGGGCCGTTTGAAGGTCGTCGGCCGTGCCGGTGTTGGAATTGACAATGTCGATCTGCAGGCTGCCACCGAATTCGGCTGCTTGGTCGTCAATGCCCCCACCGCCAACACCATTGCTGCCGCCGAGCATGCCATCGCCCTCCTTGCTTCCATGGCTCGCAATGTTCCTCAGGCTGATGCCTCCATGAAAGCTGGTAAACCAAAATTTTCAGTTTCATGTGCAAAATTACTCGACTCTTGTGGAGTACTATTATTACGTATCATTCATTCTTTCTTCTTCTTCTTTTTTTTTTTTTTAAAAAAAATATTTTCTTGGATCAGATCAGTTTTTAAAAACGCGGCTAAAATAGTTGTTGGATGGGATCGGATGTTTCTATCCGTCTTCTTCTTTTTGTATGGTAATAATAATATTTTTTTTCCATGCGTTGTGCTCAAGTTTTGGCTTACTCGGCAGCTACGTACTGACAGACCGTTGGACATGTATTTTGGTGTAAATATATTAGCAGCTGTGGGTTTCTTGTACACTTGATACTCTCTTTTACTTTCCACGGCTGTTACTAGTAGGCTCAGTTTTTGATCCTGCAACATCAGAAGTTTATGATGTTTCACTCGTCAAACCTTCCTACTTCTCCATGTTGCTTCTTTTTTTTTTTTCTGCCCTTCGAAGTTTTTAAGTTTTTGGTCTCCATGCTGTTGATAGTCGGAACTGACTTCTGTACAGAAGTTTGGGCTTATGCTCAGTTATTCTGACTACGAATTACCCCAAATCTGCGACAGCCTTCCAAGAGTATGAAATAAATACTTGGTGATATATGAAATAAGTACAATTTGTGCAAATTACTTGGTTTACCCCGATATTGTGGTTGTCAGATATCAGCTGTTCTTTTAAGGGGAACTGGAGGATTTGCTTTTAGGTAGCATAAGCAGATTCACCAACTGTTATAGAACAACGTCGTGCCTTTAGTAAATTTTGCTGCCAATACAATGTCATATTTGCTCGGAATTCAAATTTGGTCTTCTACTATAAGGTTCATATTGACGGTTACGCTTGGACATATGTAGTTTAGAGCTTCAAATTGGAATTGAACAAGTTTGCAGAGCAATGTGATTTTCCAATACAGCATTTTATTGTAGTTAGATTTTACTTGAACGTGCAAAAACCATGATTTTTCCAGGAAAATGGCAACGTAACAAGTACGTTGGTGTTTCACTGGTTGGGAAAACACTGGCTGTTATGGGATTTGGAAAAGTTGGTTCTGAAGTTGCAAGGCGAGCAAAAGGCCTTGGTATGAATGTTATTGCACATGACCCCTATGCCCCGGCAGATAGAGCCCGTGCCATTGGTGTGGATTTAGTCTCTTTCGATGAGGCAATTTCTACTGCGGACTTCATTTCACTTCACATGCCTCTTACTCCTGCTACTTCCAAGATATTTAATGACGAAACATTCTCAAAGATGAAGAAAGGAGCACGCATTATAAATGTTGCAAGGGGCGGTGTCATTGATGAAGACGCATTAGTTAGGGCCCTTGACAGCGGTACAGTTGCACAGGTATGCTCATCGCGGTTTAACTCTTATTTCTTTTGGTTTTACAGGTTAGATTTTCCATATATCAACCTTTCAGATGTGACAGTCAAAGTTGGGTTAGCCTTCAGTTTGTACCTTTGTCAGTTACAAAAAGTTCTCTTAAGAGTGTGTTTTCCTTTGCTTGCGATATTATTTTGTATGACTTTAATCCAAACTCCGGTGCTTCGTTCTACCACTCAGCCGTGTTTTTATCCTGGCATGCAACAGGCAGCACTTGATGTGTTCACAGAGGAGCCACCGCCAAAAGATAGTAAATTGGTGCAACATGAGAATGTCATTGTTACACCACATCTTGGAGCAAGCACAAAGGAAGCACAAGTATAGATTTCTGTTCTTTTGGGATTATTTTCAACTGTAAATTGACTGTCATTTCTTACTTTATCATCCTTTTAAACACATTCAGGAAGGCGTTGCAGTTGAAATAGCTGAGGCCGTTGTTGGTGCATTGAAAGGGGAACTTGCGGCAACTGCTGTAAATGCTCCTATGGTTCCTGCTGAGGTAATCACTTAAAGGCATTGATGTTTCTATGACCCTTATTTGTTGTCTTCCATTTGGCTGAGGTGATCACTAGAAGACATTGATGTTTCTATGACCCTCCTTCATTGTCTTCCGGTTGGCTGCTGTACTCAGGTGATGTCAGAGTTGGCTCCCTATGTTGTCTTAGCTGAGAAGTTAGGAAGACTAGCTGTGCAGTTAGTAGCTGGTGGGAGTGGCATCCAATCTGTGAAGGTCGTCTATAGATCAGCTCGGGACCCGGACAACTTGGATACCAGGCTTCTGAGGGCCATGATAGTGAAAGGCATTATAGAGCCAATATCCATCTCATTTGTAAACCTGGTAAATGCTGATTTCACAGCAAAACAGAAGGGCCTTCGGATTAGCGAGGAACGAGTCTTTGTTGACTCCTCCCCTGAGTACCCTGTCGACTCAATCCAAGTTCAAATTAGCAATGTTCAATCTAAATTTGCAAGCGCATTGTCAGAGACAGGAAATATTAGCATCGACGGCAAGGTGAAGTATGGAATCCCTCATTTAACAGGTGTGGGATCATTTAGTGTGGATGTTAGTTTGGAAGGGAATCTGATACTGTGCCGCCAAGTTGATCAACCCGGAATGATTGGGAGAGTTGGGAATATTCTTGGAGAGAGCAATGTCAATGTCAGCTTTATGAGCGTAGGAAGGACGGCTAAGAGGATAAAGGCAATCATGGCCATCGGAGTAGATGAAGAACCTGACAAGGATACCCTTAAGAAGGTGGGGGAAGTGCCTGCAGTTGAAGAGTTCGTGTTCCTTGAACTGTAGAGCGCTTTTGCTGGTGACATGTTTTGGTGTCTTTCTGAGGATTATTTTGAGAACAAAAGGTGACTGCTACCAAAACCATGTGTTGCGCTCTATCTACTTCCAGAAGGTGAGTTTTCACGGAAACCCTGTTGTAACTGTTCATAGGGATATAATTATCTGTAGCAAAATGTCAGGAAGTGATTGTTGTTGCTTTGTTTTCATTGTGGAACATCAATTGCGGTCTACTGCTGTATATTGGCTTGTATTTTGTGTTTTTTCTGTGGGGCGGGCGGCCCTTTCATAAAATTTCATGCATTCTGCTTCGTATTCAATCTTCGTTTCATGATATGTGAACGAAATGTTCATTCAAGAAAATATTTAGATCTGACACACTAGTGTTCTCCATTTAGCCTTTCCCAATCTGTGATCCAACTTGCGCTATATCTTATCAGTTAAAACAATTCGATTCAACAACCATTGCAGGTGAGTTACCAACTTTGAGGTTCTATCAAGCTTCATTTAAATCCTTTCAGTTAGGATCATATGTTCCAAAGACATAGTCATAGTCAACCACGATAGGTAGAATACCCCCAAATAACTCCGCGCCCCCCCTTGGCCTCCGCCTCCACCTCCACCTCCGTTACCGTCACCATCACACCCCTCCTCTCTCTCTCTCTCTGCAAAAGGACAAGAAGAGCCAAAAAAAAAAGGACCCTTTGCTTCCTTCCAAGTTCTAACACCACTTTCTAAAACGTTTCGTAAGCTCTTTGTTCAAAACTCCAAATGTCGTTTCTTGTCCAGACTGCGCTTACAAAAAGGACTGGCATTTACCAAGTTGCTGCGGATGAAATGAACGTCAAGAAAACTTAAAACATCCTAAAAGACACAATCGGATGATCAAGTGAAAAGGCACTACCATCTCTTCTTAAACTCCAAATCCATTGTCATCATTAGAGAACTACTACTCAAAACACAAACATGTTAAAATTTTTTATAAGAGCAAGTAGTCCCAGCATCCCAAAAGAGGAAATACAACACTTAAACGAAAATAATAATGAGCCTAAAGATTATCCCTAATTGGCTAATGACGAAGGAGAAAACATAATAGGCAATTGAATTTGAAGCCATTGCCCAATTCATGAATAAGAGAAAAGCTATTGAGTATCTAGAATACATCATCACTGAAAATAAACCATCCAAGTGCGCTGGTAGTAACTGAAACATTCACGAACATCTAGGCATCAAAGCCAGGAACATCATTTACCCCTGCAAAAAACGAAATGCAATATGAAATCAGCAAAATTCAAGAAAATGCAATGGTCTTATGTGTTTCAGGATAGCTTATTCTATACATGGGCTTCACGAGAGAGAGAGAGAGAGAGCTTAGCCATACGTGTTCATCATCAATGTGATATTGTCCCCCTTCAGAAGTATCCTCCCTAAACAAAGGCAATATAAACACCAGAGAAGTGATTCAAAGAAAGAAGCATGAAAAATCAGGTAAAGGATGGAAAAAAATGCACATTTCAGTTACTGACCCAATTGCTTCGTGGTCTTCTTCTTTATGTTGACTTCCTCAGCATCTTCCAGGACCAAATTCATGTACTCATCAAAACCCTGTCAAAATAAAGAACAAGAGCTGTAAGACACTAAATCAGCATTCCCTTCGACTGTAATATCTTGTGGAACAAAGGAGTAGAGATAAGATAATGCCGCAACAAAACCCCAAACGAAGGTGAAATTGGATAAATAACCTGAAGCAAGATTAGTAAATAATTTTAATTAAAAAAAAAAGGAAAAAGAAGGCTTACAATGATGCGGCCTTCAATCCTCAAATCCTTCTGCTCAAAGAGCCAAATCTGAATTCGAGCTTTCTGCCAAAGTCGACAGAATGGACGTTACACTACTAACAAGTAATCCCCAACATGAACTTGTTTTTTGCAGGCTGAATATGAACAATTGACCAACAAAATATGCGTTTAATTACAAACAGAAAGAAGAAAAAGGAAGAAGATAACTTACGCTTTGAAGAAACCTGAATATCAGGTTCTGCATCCGCACCCAATTAGACCCCAAAAAAAAATCAACTGTTCAGGCCAAAACAAAAAAAAGGAAAGAAAGAAGAAACGAAAGTGAGTTTGGAGTCAGGGACGACGTACGATAGGTTGGGTCATAATCCTCTGAACTTTGGTGCTAGCCATGGCTGCTGCTGCTGCTGCTTCCCGCTCAGTCGCCTTTCAACCAACCAGCTTTTGCTCTCTGCGCCCCGAAAACCCTAACTACAGACGGCTCCCCCGCTTTCTTCACTTCCTAAACTAAAGATGCCGATCAATAGACTCAGGTTTGGGCTGTGTTTTGTACACTTACTCTATTGGGCTCCTGGGCCTTTTTCAAAGGTTTTCTGTAAGCCGTTGTTGTTTCCTTGGACGACACTTCTGCCAACGCCACCACACTTGCTTGATCATACATAGGCCCCCTACGATTTTCATCAAATCTGTTATCTAAATAATTCTAATTCCCCCGCCAAAATAAAATGATAGCCTATTACCATCTGTTTGGTGTATTTGGCCTCACTTAATTAATTGTGGTGCATGCACATTGAATTGTATTTTCTAGATCGGTTCTCCGATTTTTGAGTGTGTTTGGATACGATATTATTTGGAATGATTATTGTAACACTTTTTTGTGATGTGATATATGTGAGATAAAAAAGTGCGTTGAAAATTATATTTGTAATGCAGGTAAATAATTTGGAGCCACATAAATTTAATATGCTCGTGCATATATTTGTTACATAAATTTAAGTCCACAACTGTCGCTGGCAATTACAGAATTCCTAATCATGATTTACAATGATTTTATATTTTCATCAAACAATGTTGATAGTAAAATTTTATTTACAAACATCTCAGAGTCGAGTAGAGAGAGTAGATATGTTCTGATAAAATTTAAATACAATAAGAGCTAAGTTTGACCCTTAAACAGTAAACTCATCGAAAAAATCATTTAAAGTAGGGAGAAAATTCCAAAAGGAACTTAGTATAGGCGCAGAAGTTAAAACAGACAAATTGTGAGGGGTCTAGTCGAAACTTCAAAAAGGAACCGGGTCTCCGGCTCTCCACAGTAATTCAACCAAAAAGTAGTTTGGTTGGGGTGTTGGGGAAAGGGAAAATTAGCAAACCGAGAAAGGAAAAAAGAAGAAGAGAGGAAGAAATCTCGAGCAAGTAGCAGTACAAAATTCAAATCCATCGGAGAGTTGCGTTGCGTTGGTGGTTTTGGTGGTGGTCCAGCACTAGCCGTCGTTGTCGTTGTCTTACCTTTGCCTGGGACCGCTAGGGTTTATTTCCGATCGACCTAATAGCGGAGAATCACAATTGCTTCTCAATTTCTTATGGCTGGTGCCGGAATTCACCCCTACCACCAGCAATGGCCTCCGGCCGCAGCTCCTCCTCCGCCTCCAGTCGCTGCTCCTCCTCCTCCACCCCCACCGCATCCTCACCCTGCTCCTATCCCCATGGATAATCATAACCGCCTTCCCATCGATGAGGTAAGATTTCCATCGACGAATTATTACAGTAGCGGTGAAAGTGATTTAAAAAAAGGGGGTGAAACTTGAAACTTTTTGCTTCTCCCCTAAGGTTCGGACAATTTTCATATCTGGGCTGCCTGAGGACGTCAAGGAGAGAGAGCTGCAGAACCTACTGAGATGGTTGCCGGGATACGAGGCGTCTCAGGTCAACTTCAAAGGCGAACATCCCATGGGATTTGCCCTCTTTGCCACTCCTCAGCAAGCTATTGCTGCCAAGGATGCCCTTCGGGTAATTGCACCTCCAATTTCTTCTGTTATCCCTATTCTACTAGTTGATCCTTCTTTTTCTTTTTCTTCTTTTTTTTTTTTTTAAAACTGTTCTCCTTTTTGTTTTCTTGGGCAAATGATGTATATGGGCTACAGGATTTGGTTTTTGATGCCGAATCAAATTCGATATTGCACACTGAGATGGCCAAGAAGAATCTTTTTGTAAAGAGGGGTGAGTATTTTCCATCTAACTTCAGACATCAGTATTACGGTTCTGAAAGTGCAAATTTTCTCGCCATTTGGATATGTATTTTCTGTTTGTTCTGCAGGGATAGTTGCCGACTCAAATGCATATGATCAGAGTAAACGATTGCGAACTGGTGGTGATTATACGCACACAGGTTATTCAAGTCCATCTCTTTTTCATCCTCCTCCAGCACCTGTTTGGGGGCCCCATGGGTAAACTGCTTTTCTCGCTGCCTGTTTTTCCCTTGCACAGTTATTCTGTTGCATGGAAGCATGACTTCATGTGCATTATTTGGTCGAATATATGTTTGATGATTGTCCAAAGTTGCCTGTAGATATCAAATTTTGGTTTGCTGAGATTATGTTGTATGGCTTAGGTATATGGCTCCAGCCCCCCCACCATATGATCCATATGCTGGTTATCCTGTTGCTCCAGTACCAATGCCTGCTCCTGCCCCTGTTTCGGCTCCAAGCAGTTATGTACCTGTTCAGGTGACCTACATCTATATTCTGTTTTGATACATGTCTCTTAGTTTAGCAATTTTGCTGTGTTCTAGACAGATAATATGGCTTGAATTTTGCACCCTGATAGTTTGTATCGTTGTTTTGTTTATGTTCCATCTGCTTTCATGCTATTGGATATATGTCAGGGAGCAAAGTCAAAATGCCCGCCTGTAAGGGTTCAAAACCATAATATGTGTAGTTAGAAAGTCTCCTTGGCCAGCACGGCAAAGCATGACGAGTTCCAGAATCTTTGATTAATGTATAAAATGTCATTATTCAGAAGGCTGAATGTATAAAGCTCAATCAGACTACATTATCTACTAAATTTTGGCTCCAATCCTAAGTCTGTCTCTTTTTAATGGTTAACTTTGTCTTTTGTCTTTTTTTGGGTTTGCATAAATCTTTGGGCATATGAAGAGAGGACATTACTGGAAATTTTGATGTAGGGGAATTTAGTGCTTTCTTTTGCTTTTAGGTCAAAAAATAGTAATGATTCACTTATCTTTTATATGGGGGGAAGTCGTCATGAGTAGACATGGCCATGGTTTTAGAACTGCGGTTACAGTTCTAGAACTACTGGTTTCGGTTCCTTGGAATGGTGGAACCAAAACCGCACCTTATATGACAGTTCCCAGTAATGGGTTCTGAAACTTCCAGTTCTGGTTCCCGTTACGGTCCTGGTTTTGGTTCCGGTTCCTGTTCCTGTTGCGAGAATAATGTGACAATATATTTAAAATAAAGCAGATGTGAAGAAAATAAATATAGAAGAAAGTAGGATTTTGATTTTATTATTATTATTGAATAAGGAATAGAAAAAATGATAGAAACTTCATGAAAAGTACAGCAAGGTGCCCATGAATGCGAATATGCCTGTCCTTCCCCCAGAAAAAAAGGGTAAAAGAGGAAGCTTATTGAAAGGTGGGTTATTGCAATTGCTTTCTGTATATTCATCACCTCACACTATTGAATGTTAGTAACAATTTTAAATAGAAGACTAGATACAGGATTTTGGAGAAATTAAGAATATTTCCAAGTTGGACAGCATGGACTTGGCCCAAGCTTTATTTTTCCTCAAATTTTTTAGATGGCTCTGGTTCTATTTTTAGAGAACTGGAACTGGAACCGGAATCGGATCCGTTACCTACGGTTCCTCTCCGGCTCTCAGTTTTGGTTCCAGTCTGGCGCAGTTCCCGGTACTATTAATTTTTGAGTACTTTCTGTTCTTTATCTTCTTCTGCTTCCCCTTTGTGAGGCAGTTCTGTTGCTGTCTTGTAGAACACTAAGGACAACCCGCCATGCAACACACTGTTCATTGGAAATCTTGGAGAGAACATAAATGAGGAAGAGCTCAGGAGTCTTTTCAGCGCGTATGCATCTTTTTCATTTTTTATTTCTTCTTAAGATGTTGAGAGAAGCGAAAATGTTTCTTCAGTGATACTAATTCATTTCTTGTGCTTTGTTTTGTATGACCATAGACAACCTGGTTTTAAGCAGATGAAGGTATTGAGGCAGGAAAGACACACAGTCTGCTTCATTGAGTTTGAAGTGAGTATCCGAGGATGCAATTGCTCTCTGATGCAATTCCTTGGTCTTATAGCTGTTTGCCTTTCTTAGATTGTCATTTGAGTTCTTGGTTTTGTTCTGCAGGATGTCAATAGTGCTACCAATGTGCATCATAATTTGCAGGGTGCTGTCATACCTAGCTCTGGTTCGGTTGGCATGCGGATCCAATATCCTTTGTATATGACTTTTTCTGGACTTAGTTTGCATGTGTGTCTCTACTGTGTGTGGCCGTACACACTCTGACATCCTCATTCTCTCTCTAGATTTATATCAACATTTTCTTGCTTTCTTAATCTAGCTAGTTACATAGTTTTGTGTCTCCTTTTATCCTGGCCATTGTTTTTCTCTTAATATTAGAAACGTATTCCAAGAACCCATTTGGGAGAAGGAAGGATTCCAACCATCCAGCAGTTGCTCCCGGTGCTAATGGAGCCGTGCCAACTATGACCTACCAGTAGCTGACTGGCTGGAAGGGGATGTATTCTGTTCTTTATGCTCTGAGCAAAACAAACCACTACATATGATAGGATGCATCGTGCAGCTGTTGCATGCATCCATTTTGTCATCAAGTCATCAGCATTAGCATCTTACATGTTAATGAATGCACGAAATGGTCTCATGAACATATTGTTGGGCCATGTTATATTTTGCTTATGCAGGACATATGCATTCCGGCAATGCTATCTTAGAATGATTCTTAGCTTGATTAGGACTTTTGTTTCTATATATTATGTCAAGGGTGCATGGGATTGTAGCTGTTGAATCTTATGGTTTTCACTCCTCAACTCTTTACAATGTCAGGAATGCTTTTCTTTTACACATGTTGCCTTGCAAACCAATTTTCTCCATGTCATCAATATGTATTATAGATCCCATGGATACCACATGCCATGCTATGTCACAATGAACTGAGGCTCATCCCCAGGCACAATCATCATGACATGGAAATTTTAGAAACCCATATCATAAGTCATGATAATTATACTCAGATCACGTTGCTGTCACTAGCATCTTTCGATGAAAGCTTAAGCTTAAGATAAGTTCATTAGCTCTATGACGCTCTTGGCGTCCAGGCTTTGCATGATGAGCAAATCCAAGAATCTGGAATGTTGTCCATTCTATTGTTGTTATGCAGGGTCAATTGTTGCTGGAGCTGCTGTTCATTTTGGTGATCTGCTCTAGTTGCTGGATACCAGAACTCCAGTAGGACAGTCTGATTCTAGACGTTTGAGGTTGGCATCTGGTTGAGTTGTTGTTTTACGTGGCTGGAAGTTGGCTC